GGGGGATTTGGCGGAGGAGCACGCGGAGCTAAAATCGAAATACGACGCGCTGCTGCCGCGTTCGTCGAAAAGAAAGACGCACGAAAACGAATCGGTAAGTGCCGTTTGCAGCGCTTCGAATCGCAGGTTAGCGCTGCGGAAATTCCATGATTGTACGTAAGTTCTCCTCCCAAAACCCAGAAATCTCGAACCATGAGTGTCGGGGTTTATTCTAAACCTGCCTTTCCGCTTTCATCGCTTCCCCTCCACTTTCCCCCGATCAGATGAGTGCGCCTCCGCAAAAACGCGTGAAGGAGGAGATTTTCGATGATCCTTGCGCGTCCGCAGGCTGCGCCGAACATTCTGACGCGCACCAATGCAGGGAGCGCATCTCCGACTCAAACGGCTCTGATAAGATCAAGACAGAGGCCTGCAATACAGATGAAGTTCTTATGAAGACATTCAGCAACGACGCTCCAGGTTGTACAGTACAAGAGGCGAGCAGGAAACACGACAAAGACAACAGAAAGCTTCCAGTTACCATGTTACCAGTCCAAGAAACCAGCACGTCGAAATCTGCTACCGTCACATTATATGCAAGCACATCCAACGAGAGGCATCAAAGCCAGGTTCGGCCTTTACGGAGACAAGGAGCAACCAAGCCTACTGAAGCCCCCACCCTTTGTTCGACCCTCACTCCAACATCTGCCTCCCCTCGCTCCCCAAATTCCCCCCGTGCAACCTCGTGCCCTCTCTCCCCTCCCTCATCTCCAACCGGTAACCATCCCTCCTCTCACTCCCAGCCGACCTCTCTCGTTACCGCGTATCGCTCCCGTTCCTCCTCTTTCTCGCTCCCCGAGCCCTGCATGAACCTTCCCCAGTTGTCACCTCCCCCAGACGCCCCTGCCTCCCCCACAACTCCCACTTCCGCAGCCACTACACCTGCTGCACCTGCTGCAGCTGCTACAATTGCTACAGCTGCTAAAGCTGCCGCTGCTACAGCTGCTGCTTCTAAAGCCGCTGCTTCTACTACAGCTGCGGCTGCTACAGCTGCCGCCTCTACTACAGCTGCTGCTGCTACAGCTGCTGCTGCTGAGCCCAGTCCAATCTGTTTGGTTCCAAGATGCAACCTGCCCAGTGCTGTGTTCCGTGCTGCGCATGTCATGGGGCGTATTCGCAGTAACCCCACTTCTCTAGGTGTATTTCCCGCAATGCCCAGGGCAGTACCCCCCAAAAGCCTGGCAGCCCGGGTCGCAATAGCGTCAGCAGGGGCAGATGCAGCAGCAGCAAGAGCATCAACAGGGGTAGATGCAGCAGCAGCAGCAGCAGCAGCTACAGAAAAAGCATCAGCAAACACAGCTTCATCAACAAGAGCATCAGCAGAGGCAGCTGCAGCAGCAGCAAGAGCAGGGGAAGCAGAGGCAAGGGCAACAGCAGCAAGAGCATCATCAGAGGCAGCTGCAGCGACAGCAAGAGCAGGGAGAGCAAGGGCAACAGCAGCAGCAGCAAGAGCAGGGAGGTTCCAGAGAGCAAGAGAAGCGGGGGGGTCGGGAGAAGCAGGAGGTGGAGTGTGGGCAGAGGGTACAGCGGGGGCAGGGAGAGCAGGGACAGCTGTAGCAGCAGCAAAATTGAAGAGGTTGGGGGGAGCAGCGGAAGCGTGGAAAAGAGAGGTTGCACAAGGCGCAGGAGCAACAGCAGCAAGAGCAGGAGGAGGAGGGGAGAGAGGGGGAGAAGTTGGGAATGCGTTGAAGGAACTGCGACGAGTGGACATTCTATCTCTAAAGCTGTCACTGTAGGTACATAAGAAAAGCTTCTCAATATTTGGGTGTTCGGTAATAAAAGGTTTTCCAGCAATGCAATTGTGAAATATTACTCGGTGTCTATGTAGTGTACATATGCATGTGTCTACGTATAAACCAATCATAAACCAGTAGCATTCCAAAACCATTACACCCTTTGTTATTATGAGTTGTAAAACAGAGTTGCACAGAAGAACGGATAACGAGACTCTGACTCAATGAACTGACGATACAATGAAAGAGACGCGATAATATAGCGGGTCAACCTAGCTAGGCAGGAACCTTGGGAACATGAGGTTGGGTGGGTGCAGGTTTGGCAAAAGGAAAGCCGAAGGCGACGCGAGGTTGCTTCGACAGCAAGCAAACCGGCCGAACGTACACTTTCGAGCGTCGGGGTTGTACAAGGGCTCTCGTTATCAGACCAAATTGGTCTGATGGTCTGATTTTCAGACGTAGATTTTCGCTTTCATCTGATCTCTAGACGATGCTTTTTATTTCGTATGATGATCCGTAAGATGACTGATTTTAGTTCATCTGATATTTCAGAGCAAGCTCTATAGTTAGTCTGAAATTTCAGAGAACGAGTTGTTTTTCGTTTGATACCGATCCCCCTCCCCCCAACAATCCCTTTCCCCCCCGATCTCTCGCTACTGTACCAGCTCAGCCCCCCCTTCTATGCCCTCGCTCCTCTTCCAGGCCTAGTCCTGTCCAACCCTTCTCCCTCTTTCCCCAACCTGAGGTCTCTCCAGGTCTCGCTCCCAGCCTAGCCCGCTTTCATGCCCCTCCTAATGTCTCGCAGCCCAGCCCCCCCTTCCCTTCGCGTCCCTCCACCTCCACCCACCCTGATCCCTCGCGTCGCAGCCCCTCATTGTCATGTGCGTGCCCCTCAATAGCCACACAACTGTCTGTCAGCTAGCGAGCTGTCAGCACCGCGCCAGGGGCGCGTTCATTAACAAAACAAGCGTGATTATGTTAGACATGTGTGTTAGCTAAATCAGACTGTGCAAATTGAATCATATGAAGAATCAGACTAAGCTTTAACATTCGTACAAAAAACCAGACCAAAAAAATATGCCCGTCTGAACGTCAGACGGAACGGTTTTTTTACTTACGGTAGGTATGTCAGACAGGCCCAAATCCTAGCAAGAGCCCTGGGTTGTACGCGGTTGAGTAAACCCCAGTAAGGGAAAAGGGTCTGCCCTTACATTCTCTCACTACGGGTATGTTGCAGCATCAGTCACTGCTACGGTACTTACGGTAGCAGTCACCCAGTTGCATATGTTCAATATTGTATGCTCATTGCTTACACCTTTTCACTACAATTGTGCTACCGTATTTACTCATCATGGTACAGTATGAGATGATGTGGGAGATCCTACAAGATTTGGGTCACAACAATTTGAGTGCCACATCAGCACCCTTTATTCTCTGCTGGAGTGTGCAGCCTAGTACAGTAATAGGAGAAACAATAATAATGTATCCCTTGGTAGAAGGAGCTTGGATCAGCATTACTTGGTAACATCTTCGATAGTGAAAAGTAACACTGCAATCTTGTACGAGAGGAAGCCTATAAAGAGGGGCGCAAACTGTTTCCATAGGAAACAAAGGGAGGATATAACAGATGACCGGGCAAGGGAAAGGAGGAAACGGAGAGCAGAAGTGAAAGAGTGAGAAGGGATTAAGGTGTAAAAGGATGCGAACTGCATGGCATATGAAGATTACACCAAGTACGAATTGACGTTTGAGTCGACTCGAAAGTCATTAAGGTATAAAAGCAGTAGGAACTGCATGGCATATGAAGACTGCACCAAGAACGTGCACTACAGGAAAGGTGAGAGCAGAAGGGGAGCAGAGGGAACTGAGACGATTTCTGAGGCGCTTTTTGAGGCGCCTAAAAAATATCAAAGCAGTAAGAACTACATGGCATATGAAGACTGCACCAAGAACGTGCTCCACGGGAAAGGTGAGAGCAGAAGGCGAGCAGAGGGAACTAAGACGATTTCTGAAGCGCTTTTTGAGGCGCCTAAAAAATATAAAAGCAGTAAAAACTGCATGGCATACAAAAACTGCACCAAGAACGTGCACTACAGGAAAGGTGAGGGCAGAAGGGGAGCAGAGGGCGATCAGAAGGCGAGCAGAGGGCGAGCAGGGGACGAGCAGAGGACGAGCAGAGGGCAAGCAGAGGACGAGCAGAGGGCGAGCAGGGGACGAGCAGAGGGCGAGCAGAGGGCGAGCAGAGGACGAGCAGAGGGCGAGCAGAGGACTAGCAGACAGCGAGCAGAGGACTAGCAGAGGGCAAGCAGAGGACTAGCAGAGGGCAAGCAGAGGGCGAGCAGAGGGCGAGCAGAGGGCGAGCGGAGGGCGAGTTTTGCTCCCAACATTCAGCAGTCACCACCACTCTCCTTCAAACCTTCTCACTCCTCACGTGAAGTGAGGGTGTTTTTGAGACGTCTCAAAAACACCCTCACTTCACGTAGTTTTGCCCCCTACATTCAGCAGTCACCAGCACTCTCCTTCAAACCTTGTCACTCCTCACCTCGATGTGCAAGCTGTTGGGATCACTGCCGCTGAACTGCACGGAGAAGGCCCAGAGCAGCACGAGGGCAGCAGGCACGAGCAGGCACTAGCAGGCGGCAGGAGGAGGGTGCATGCATCTCTCAGCACCACTTACCACCTCTCACCACCATCCTACAAACCTAAGCCGGTCTCTTACGTTTTTTGAGGTCTCGTAAACGTAATTTTCGTGTAATTTAGCGTAAACGTAAACGGAAACGTAAAATTACGCGTAAGTATGAGGCGGGCAGGAAAAAAAAACTACTGTGATATTTTTTTTTTCTGGATTGTGTACGGGTACCAGATCCTACCACTAATTTGTCGTGTACCTGCATAGAATAGCGACTTTACTACGTATGGAGCGCCTTTCAAGTCTGAAAGTTTCAGATTCAGCGTTGACCGGGTTAGTAAGAGAGAAACACGATAGGTTGCGAACGAGCTGCTAGGTTGACGTCGAACAAGATAGCGAGTTACAGAACTAGTTTGGAGGGAGTCTTCCTGATGCTCTGGTCGTTTTTTTTTCCTCGGGCAGCTCAGAAAAGCTTTTAGGTGACCGTAAATGTAAGGCCGAATCAGGGCGACCGTTCGTAAACGTAAAAATTGTCGTAATCGTCCGAAAACGTTAGGAACCGAAAACGTAAGATCCAACTTAGCTACAAACCTCCTCACCTCGATGTGCAAGCTGTTGGGGTCGCTGCCGCTGAATTGCACGGAGAAGGCCCAGAGCAGCACGAGGGCAGCAGGCACGGCCAGACGGCGCGAGGAGAGGGCGAGCTGAGCGCCCTGCAGGAGCTTCTGGGGCGAGTCGACCGTTGCTAGGCTGTCAACCAGGCCCTTCCTGGAATGGGTGGGTAGAGAGTGGTTAGAGGAGGGGAGGGATGGGTATCGTTAGGGGATGGGTAACAGGGACACAGAGACTGCAGGAGGAGAGGGCGAGCTGTGCTCTCTGCAGCAGCTTCTGGGGTGAACCGACTGTTGCTAGGCTGTCAACCAGGCCTCCTGGGAGAGGGCGGTTGGGACGGGGTGTTGGCATGAGGTGGGTAGAGGGTGGATAAGGCATGAGCAGGCGGCGCGAGGAGAGGGCGAGCTGTGCCCCCTGCAGCAGCTTCTGGGGTGAATCGACTGTTGCTAGGCTGTCAACCAGGCCCTTCCTGCCAAAGGGGGAGGGTGGTAAGGTGGCAGGTTAGGGGAACAACAACGGTGGAAGGAGAGGGCGAGCTGTGCTCCTTGCAGCAGCTTCTGGGGTGAATCGACTGTTGCTAGGCTGTCAACCAGGCCCTTCCTGGGGTTGGTTTTAGAGGAGGGGGGGGGTTGGGTAGAGGGGTGGGTAAGGGGGCAGGTAAGGGCTAAGTTGGAATATACGCTACTTTCATTTTGCGTTTTGCGTTTATACGCTTGTCGAATTCGTACGTTGCGTATAGTTTGAAAATTCGCCGAGTTGAATTTCGGGCAGACCGAAAAAAAAAAAATTCAATCTGAAGCTCGCGACGTGGCGATCTCAATTCCGAGTCGCAGTTGTCGCGAAATGAACTCAAATTTTGAATTTCGAGCACCAAACCTCATCAACCCCTCCCCTCAAACGTTTCACACCCCTTTGAACCACAGCATTCCACCATCCCCTCCAAGTGCTACTTTACTGGTTGGGAGCTCAACCCAACCCAATCTCCCAGGCATAAAGAGAGGCGTTTGTTCCCTCGACATTCATTCTCTCGCTTCCTAGCTATGTCCTTTCCCAAGCCACCATGGCTTCCACTCCTACAGCAACCACTTCTCGTACGTCACCCTCAGAGTCTCCTGGTAGTTCCGCTGGTGGAACCTCTTCTAGTACGTCTTTGGTCTGCATGGACAGCAAGCACGCAGTCTACCGTCACTTCAAGGTGCCGGCCAATAGCGTTGGCGAGAACGGCACCAAGGTGTGTGCCTACTGCAACTTCACGTTTGTTGGCGGGGTTCACCGTTGCGCGCAGCATATCACCAGCTGGAACGGCATGCGCCGTCGCGAAGTGCATCTCTGCACTGCAGCGCCGAAGACTGCACGTGACGTCGTGAAGGCGCTTTACGAGTCCAAGTTGAAGGCCCGTGAAGCGAAGCGTGCGGCTGAAATTGCGGCGGTCGGCGCAGTCAACGGCAGAGATAACAAGAAGAAGAGTCGGATGTCCGACTTCTACGGCGACGACGCCGCGTGCGCGAACCAAGCTGCGGACGAGGCCATAAGCCTCTTCTTTGCCGCTCTTCATGTGCCGGAGCATCACGCGGACCACCCACTGTGGCGGAATGTGGTCTCCAGCATCCAGCGCGCGGGGCCGAATTACGTCGCGCCGAAGAGACGCTACATCGGTGGCGCCGGTCTTGCGAAGTGTCGCCAGCGCATTGAGGCGGCGCTCGCTCCTATCTCAGCAAGCTGGCGCCGTGACGGTGTCACCGTGGCAAGCGACATGTTCTCCGACAAGGCCGGCCGCCCGCAAGCCAACGTGCTCCTCATCAACGATAGCGGTGCGGTGTTTGTGGAGTCGATCGACACGAAGATGGAGATGAAGACCGGGGGCTACATCGCGGGCATCTTGCGGCCCATCATCGAAAAGGTCGGCCCCGAGAATGTCGTCGCCTTGTGTTTTGACGGCGGCTCCAACTACGCGGCGGCATGCAGGGTGTTGATGCGCGAGTATCCCCACATTGAACACATCCCTTGCGCGACCCATGTCCTCGATCTCCTGATGGAGGACATCGGGAAAAAGGGATGGGCGAAGGACATCGTCACGCGCGGGGACACCCTCATCTCGTTCGTCCGCAACTATCACTTCACTCGGGGATACATGCGGAGTCCGCTCGTGAACGGCGGCAAGGGGAAACAGGTTCTCAAGCCCGCGGGAACCCGATTCGGCACCAACTACATCGCCATCAACCGCCTCTGTGAAGTGCGCGCCGGCCTGACGCAGATGGTCCTCAGCGATGAGTGGGCCGAGTGGACTGCGGCTGCAGACAGGGCTGGGGCGGACACATTCAAAGACAACATCCTCGATGCCGCGTGATGGACGCGCGCCGAGTTCTTCGCTAAGCTGATGAGGCTGCCATTCGTCGTCATGCGCAAGACTGACTCAGATTCGAAGGGCATGATGGGTCATCTCTACGACCTCATGCTCCAGCTCACCGAGGACATCCGCGACTTCCTCGACGAGCATGCGGAAGGGGTCCTGACAAGCAACGAGGTGGGGGATATTCGGGAGATCGTGCAGGACCGCTGGGACAACGGGCTGGCGTGCAACTTGCATGTGATTGGCCGCATCCTCTACCCCACCAACCAGGAAGAGTGCATTTTCCGCACCGACCTGGAGTGCACGAGGGTCTTCAAGCAGTACGTCTCCAAGCACCATGGTGACAAGATGGTCACCAGGAAGGACGGGGTCGAGCGCCGCGCCTCTCTCGTCATCCAGGAAGGCCTCAATGCCTTCCTGAACCTCCAAGGCAGCTTCGGCATGCCCGACGCTATTGCCGACCGCCAGGCAGTGAAGGAGGGCAAGATGACGGCGGTGGACTGGTGGACATGGCACGGGACCGATCATCCTGAGCTCACCACCATGGCTTGCCGCGCCATCACGCAGCCGGTGTCTGCGTCTCCATGTGAGCGTAACTGGGCGAAGTTTGATGCAGTGCATACGGCAAGGAGGAACCGCCTCGGCGCGGTGAAGCTTCGTGACCTGGTGTATGTGACGCACAATTGGCAGGTGGTGCACAACTGGCACAAGGCCCCTGAAGGGCTGGGGGTGGTGAAGGGAAACATCGAGGACCCCCCCACTCCGGCTGGCTATAACGTCCCGGAGGAGGTGGAGGAACCTGGGGAGGGGGAGGATGATGTGATGGCAGATGAGTACTAGTGGGAGCATGATTAAGGTGGGTGAAGTTGTAGCGGCAGATTGGCCATAAGGGTTTTTTTTCCTGTAACTTTCATATTAATACAAAGGGGATGGGGGTTACAACACCCCCCCATCCCCACCTCTTACCCCAAAAATCTGCCCGGGGAAAACTTTTTTCCTGCCCGGGCAAGCGGATTCTTGGGCGTACCAGACCCCTCAGGGACTGCGGTTTGCGTATATACGCTAGCGTATATACAGCAAGCGTACAAAACGCTAAGCGCGTATATTCCAACTTAGGGTAAGGGGAGCAAGGACATTGAGAGGAGAGGGCGAGCTGAGACCCCTGCACTAGCTTCTGGGGCGAGTCGACTGTTGCTAGGCTGTCAATCAGGCCTTTCCTGGGAGCTGCGGGGGTTGGGATGGGATGGGGTGTTGGTATGAGGTGGGTAGATAGAGGGTGGAGAAGGCACGAGCAGGCGGCGGCGCGAGGAGAGGGCGAGCAGAGCCCCCTGCAGGAGCTTCTGGGGCTAATCGACTGTTCCTAAGCTGTCAACAAGCCCCTTCCTGTGAGGGGAGGGGTGGGTAGGGGTTGGGTAAGGTGGCACCGTGGCAGGTTAGGGGAACACAGAGACATTGAGATGGCGAGAGGGCGTTGAATGCCCCTGCAGAAGATTCTGAGAAGAGTGTGCTGATGCCAGGCTGTCAGCGTGAGCTAGCTGGATGAGAAGTGGTGACGAGGGTGACGAGAGGGGTTTGGATGGGTGTAGAGAGTTTCATGTGGGTTTGGCTGCATAGTACATTTGAAACGTGCTCAATTTTCTGTTTCACCCACTCTCACCTCAACTCACACCGTCTCACCCCTCCTCACCCCTTCTCACCCCTTGTCATCTTGCCTCACCTCTTGGGCTTGTTCCGGTCGATGAGGAAGGCGGGAGGCAGGTCCTCGGGGGCAATGGTGTCAGTGTCGTTGAAAAGAAGCAGCAGGTAGAGGCAGCTGGGTGGGGGAGAAGGGTGAAGGGAAAAGGGTGAAGAGAGAAAGGGGGAAGAAGGGCGCTAGAGGTGAGGAAGGAAGGCTGGAGGCAGGTCCTCGGGGGCAATGGTGTCAGTGTCGTTGAAAAGAAGCAGCAGGTAGAGGCAGCTGGGTGGGGGAGAAGGGTGAAGGGAAAAGGGTGAAGAGAGAAAGGGGGAAGAAGGGCGCTAGAGGTGAGGAAGGAAGGCTGGAGGCAGGTCCTCGGGGGCAATGGTGTCAGTGTCGTTGAACAGCAGTAGCAGGTAGAGGCAGCTGGGGGTGTGGGGAAGAAGGGCGAAAGAGTAAGGTCAGGGTGAATGGAGAGAGGAGCAGATGAGAAAAGCGGGAGGGAGGCCCTCCAGGGTGATGGTGTCAGTGTCGTTGAATAGCAGCAGCAGGTAGAGGCAGCTGGATGTTGGGAGGAAGGTTGTGGGGGAGAAGGGTGACAGGGGAAAATGGGGAGAAGGGTGACAGGAGGTGAGGAGGAAAGCTGGAGGCAGGTCCTCTGGGGCAACGGTGTCAGTGTCGTTGAGTAGCAGCAGCAGGTAGAGGCAGCTGGATGTGGGGAGGGAGCAGGGAGATGAGGAGATGGGGAGAAGGGAGATGAGGAGACGGGGAGAAGGGAGATGGAGAGATGGGGAGAAAGGAGAAGGGAGAAGGAAGAAGGGGGGAAAAGGGCGACAGGGGGTGAGGAAGACCGGAGGCAGGTCCTCTGGAGTGATGGTGTCAGTGCCTTAGAAGAGAAGCAGCAGGTAGAGGCAGCTGGATGGGGGAGGTTGTGCAGGGGAGAAGGACGATAGGGGAGGAAGCACAGAGGGTTTCAGAGGCAGGTCCTCAGGGCAGGGGTGATAGTGTCAGTGTTGTTGTTGAAGGGGCTGTCAATAGGTAGAGGCAGCTGGGTGTGGGGGGGGAAAGGGTGAAAGAGAGGGAATGAGGAGAAGGGGGATAGGGTTGAGAAAGGCTGCAGGCAGGCAGGCCCTCAAGAGAGAAAAGGTGTCAGTGTCATTGCAGAGCGGCAGCAGGTCGTTTTTGAAAATTCTCACAAACACCCTGCAGCATCAGGCCCTCAAGAGAAAAAAGGTGTCAGTGTCATTGCAGAGCGGCAGCAGGTAGAGGCAGCTGGGTGTGGGGGGGAGGAAAGGGTGAAAGAGAGGGAATGAGGAGAAGGGGAATAGGGTTGAGAAAGGCTGCAGGCACGCAGGTCCTCAAGAGTGTAAAGGTGCCAGTGTCATTGCAGAACGGCAGCAGGTAGAGGTAGCTGGTTGTGGGAGATGGGGAGAAGGGGAGGGGCAGAGGGGTTTGAGAGCCAAGGCAGATGAGAGTGGTGTCTGGGGGTAGCAGGCTGAGGGTGAGGGGTGTCACCCCCAGCTGACCTTGAAGAGCAGTAACAGATAGAGGCAGCTGGGGTTGGGGAGACGCGAGATAGGGGGAGATGGGGAAAAGGAAAACTGCGGAAGGGGAATGGAGAGAAGGGCGGTAGAGGGGAAAGGGGAGAAGGGTGGATGGAAGGTTGGTAGGGTGCAATGGGGTGAAGGGCGGTAGGGGGCAAGGGGGAGGAAACAATTATGGGCGATGGGAGAAGGACGATAGGACAAAATGGGCACCCAAAACCCTCAAGTGACACAAAACCCTGAAAGAACACCAAAAACACTCACGCAGCACCCAACACCCTCAAGCTACACCCAAATCTCAAAGCTACATTCAATACCCTGAAGCGACACCCTAAACCCTCAATCGGCAATTGAGACCTCAACCAATAACCAACAGGCGAGGTTCAGCCAGTAGGGACGCTGACACTCTCACCTCTCCCCTCCCGCACCCCTTTCCCTCCCCTCACCCCCTCCCCTCCCCTTCCTCCCCCAGCATCACTACCCAGTCGAAAATACCTGGCAGCGCTTCCGATGCCATAGCTGATGGCAGTCTGTAGTATGGACGGGACGAGGCGCATGGGAAGAACAAGGGAGGGATGGGGTTTTTTTCGTTTTCTTGGGGGGGTTGACTTTTTTTTTTTTTTTTGTGGGGGGGGGGGGGAGGGAGGGGAGGGGGGGGGGGGGGGGGGGGGGGGGGTGTAATTGAAACGTTTTAGTTTTGAGGCGTTTCAGAACCTGGTCGAGCCCGGTCTCTGTACTTAATAAGCCAAACTACTCCGTGAAACTCGCACTCACACTCACGGAGGTCGACCACCCACACTCGTTTTCCTTTCATCCCCTGTTTTCACACACACACCCACTCGTACTCGCACAACCTCCCAAAACAAGCACTCGCCAAATACCTCCCAAACACACTTGCCAACACACACAGCAAGCACACACTCTCACAGAAACCCTCGCACTTTCTCACCTGAATGGAGATTCCGAGGAAGCAGTAGAGCGTGCCTGCAGCCCCCACTCCTATAGCCGTCTGCGACAACTGCTTCTTCAGCTGGTACAGGAAAAAACGGGCGGATGAATTGGAAAGTGGGGAAACTAAGAAGGTTGGGGAGGCAGAGATGAAAGAGAATAGCGACTCGCGCTTTCAAGGGTGACTCGAAGACTTTGAAATGGATTTGGCTCACGCTTTTAAGGGTGGGGTTAATTATTTGGAACAAACATGGCTCAGGCTTCCAAGAGTGACTCACATCGTCGTACTCTCGCATGGTTTGTTGTTGCAGGTGGTTTTTGGTGTTTGTTTTTAAGAAATCTAAAATGCAACCGAAAATGGCTCAGGCTTCCAAGAGTGACTCACATCGCCGTACTCTCGCATGGTCTGTTGTCGGCTCTCCTCCCTCCGTTGCATCATCTCCTGCAACGGTCGGGAGTGGTTGGGAGTGGTGGCTTTGAGAATGAGCATATGTCTGAGACTATTTGTTATCAAACAGTGAGCGCGTCAGCAGTTGGATTTTTTCAATCACTGAAACCTGCAGTATTTACGCCGGAAAAAAGAACATGGAAATGCCGCCTGCAGAGGCATCTAGTTCAGTCAGGATGGACCTGCTGCTCGCACCTGGTATCGTCGGTTCGGATCCGAAGCTGCGAGCCTGGCTTGTGCCCGAGCCTCCGTCTCAGCCTCGAACGGCCGAGCCACTACGGACTCCCCACCTTCGTTTGAATCGCCCAGTTGGCATGTGACTACAGAAAGGCGTGACAAAGGCGAGGGCCGTCTGCGTGACTGAAAAGAGGGGAGCATTGAAACTTAATTTATTGAAGAATAGCAAGGGAGGTTGTTCTTACTAACAAGCACCCCCAAAACGCGGTCGAGGTCCGTCCAATGAATATTTTCCAAACAGGGGGAAGAAAACCGCTTGCGTAACTTCAGCTTCGTATCAGAAGGTGTGAATGGAAAGAAATGGGATGGATCGGAGGAACCGTATGTGACACTTACGCATTGTATCGATGGGCTGACGTTTAGCCGCAGTTGCAAGCCGGATGCTCTTAGCAATGCCATCCTTTGCTTAAGTTCTAAGCAGGAAAGAATTGGTGCGGGCTGGAAAGATTAGTATCTAACGCGTAGATGCTCTTTTATTTCCTGTGCTCTGTTCATTCACGAGCCTAATTCGATCAATCTCGCGTACACGTAAGGTGCGTTTTCTGATAAGTCTTGAAACTTTTCCACACCCACGAAGACGAAAGCAGTCTCTAAAATTCTGCTGGTTAGTGGTGGTGAGTGAAGTGACTGCTAGGCTATGTATCCCCTCGGAAACTCTGCCTAACCTGAGACCACAAATCAGTAGAGCTGAGTCTGTCTGGAGAATGAGGTGTGGTAACAGCTTGATACTAGTTTCACTCTCGGAATTTTCTGAGATCAGAATGTGCGCGGGCGTGTTTAGCGGTAATTTTTTTGCCTGTCGTACAGCCGAGCACATGGATTAGAGGTGTGCACAGAAGTTTGGAAGTGCTTTGTGCCGTATTCAAGAAGTTCAGTGCAGCTTTGTATCTCATGCTCTGTGCACATCGCAGCGTGTCTTTCTCTGCGCCATCTCGCGGCACTCTTTCTCGGAACACCTCCTGCTTGGGAAGATCTCCTTGGATGTCTTCGAGCTTCAAAAGTATCGAGATGACGTGGCAGCCGAGAGCCTTGCTGACACACCTTCCCGATAAGAAGTGTCGATATTTATTATTCGAACGGGTGCGATTCTTCGAAGTCGGATAGGAAGCTCATATGCAATAATTCTACAAAAATATTTTATCCTCAGGAAAATTTACCACAAATGCTAGAGAGGTCCTCAACATTTAATTCCACTACATCACCTTGTTCTCCGTTTTGACGGTGGTCTTCTTGTGTTCCCTCTCGTTGTTGCGGCTGCTTTAGGAGGAAGGGCAGATGTTTGCGTCACAGGTAATCCCAGAGAGGCACTTCCAGGAGACGCATTCGATGACGGAGGCTTAAGAGTAGGGATCCCAAGAGCCTTCCGCACCCCAGGGCGCTTAAGACCTGAGAAAAGAGACAGCGAAAGAAAGAAATTGGATGTTAGTAGGGAAGTGAATGACAACAAGGTAATCAATTCACACCAAACAAGGACCACAAGGGAGCACCAAAAAAAAAAAAAAAAACAGAGGCTATATTGCGAATGACGTAAGGTAAGGTGTATGAGGAATATCTGACTCAGCCAAATTATACAAGCACGATCATCACTACGCACGTACCAAGACCTTGGACAAGAGAAAAGACGTTGGTGGTGATCCAGTAGCAGAACACAGCCTACACAGCCTGCAGCAACACCTGGTGACAGTTGAGTCGACTCAAACGTCATCCCGTTTATCACTACACACGTACCTAGGCCCTGGACAAGAGAGAAGACGTTGGTGGTGATCCAGTAGCAGAACACAGCCTGCAGTAAAAAAAGAGAAAAACAAAAAATTAATAGAAAAGGCAGCTAAGAATAATCTAAGAAGAAGGAGAAAAAAACCAACGCACTGAAGAAAAAAGCACACTGCAAGTACACATATGAATACATTAGGTTTACTGACAATGAATGAGCACAGGAACACATGTGCATATCTAGCAAACATCACAATTGATGCTACCCTAGGGAACATGACAGTAAGCAGCACCATAGTCCCAGCCACTGGGTCACCTTGACTCATGTTCGAAGGGCTGGAGTAGTTGAATGGACGAAGCAGCACCATAGTCCCACCCACTCCTCTCATCAACCAGCTTTTGAGTCGACTCGAAGCAGACAGTCAGCAGCACCATAGTCCCAGCCAGCCACTCCTCTCATTAACCATCAGCACTGCTCTTCCTTTAACGCGGCTCAGAACAAGTTACCTTACAGAACGTGACAGCAAGTAACAACGTCACTGTACGTAGTGTGACATGAGCGGCATGGCAGTGTACATTACGTAGTGTCACACTGTACAACCTTAAGGAACGTGACAGCAAGTAACATGAGTGGCATGGCAGTGTACAACCTTAGGGAACGTGACAGTAAGAGGCACCATGGTTTACAGCCAATCCTTTCATAATAAACCACTTCAGTTGCGCTGCCTCAAAACAACTTGCTTTGGAGAATGTGACAGCAAGGAGCGTGACAGTGTGAGAGAAAGTTACCTTAGGGAAGGCGACAGTAAGCAGACATGCGTTACCTTAGGGAACGTGACAGTGAGCGGCACCATGGTCACAGCAAGCCCTCGCATGAACCACTTCATCTGCGCTGCATTGGGTGCTCCCTCCATGCCCTCTGCTGCGTTCAGCTGGAATACAAGAGAGGCATGCAAAGGATTAAACCGCACCGCACCTCACTTCACCTGTAAAGGATTGAAAAATAGAAATGCAGCTGAGAAGGGGGGAGGTGCAAGGGGTGCAAGGGACAGGAGCGAGGGTGCGAGGACAGGAGAAGAAGCAGGTAGGTGAGGTGTGAAGTGAGGTGAGGTGAGGTGAAGTGAGGTGGGGTGGGGTGAGGTGAGGTGAGGTGAGGTGAGGTGAGGTGAGGTGAGGTGAGGTGAGGTGAGCTTTGCAGAAAACGACATACCTCCACAGCAGCCAGGATGCCAGCAGAGGACATGAGAGGCAGCAGATAGGTGGGATCAGGTGTACTGAGGTCGGTGAACCAGAAAGCTCCCCCTGTTGCGAACGATGGCATGTGCTCCGCCATTCCTGTGATCTGCAACAGGAGGATAGGGAAAGGGGGAGGAGGATAGGGAAAGGGGGACGAGGATAGGAAAGGGGGAGGAGGATAGGGAAAGGGGGAGGAGGATAGGGAAAGGGGGAGGAGGACAGGGAGAAGGGGGGTTGAGGAACGGTCTTAAGGAAGCATTCTCTGAGAAATCTCAAAGATTAGGACGAGTTAAGTCTGTTGGATCTGGGTCGAACCTATTTTTCTCTGCGGCAAAAGGACTAAAGGAAGTGTTTTCTGAGAAATTTCGAAGTGAAGCAGAGAAGGCCTGGCCTGAGACTGAACGACGAGTTTTGAGTCGACTCAAAATGAGTCGAGTTTTGAGTCGACTCAAAATGAGTCGAGTTTTGAGTCGACTCAAAATGAGTCGAGTTTTGAGTCGACTCAAAATGAGTCGAGTTTTGAGTCGACTCAAAATGAGTCGAGTTTTGAGTCGACTCAAAATGAGTCGAGTTTTGAGTCGACTCAAAATGAGTCGAGTTTTGAGTCGACTCAAAACTTGAAGCAGAGAAGGCTTGGCCTGAGACTGAATGACGAAGCACTTGCATTGAAGAGAAGAGCTTATGCACGCAACCAGCGAAGTGCAGCACGTGCACAATAAGCTTACAACTTTTGAGTCGACTCAAGAGAAGAGCTTATGCAGGCAACCAGCGAAGTGTGAATCAGGGATGAGCAGCAGGTGCACGGTACGCGTACAGCAAGAAGAGAAAGGGGGAAGAGAAAGAGCAAGTGCAAGTGCAAAACACGTACAGCAAAATGACTTTTGAGTCGACTCAGCAAGTGCAGCAAGTGCACGGTACGCATACAGCAAGAAGAGAAAGGGGGAAGAGAAAGAGCAAGTGCAAGTGCGTTTTGAGTCAACTCAATAGTCACCTTGGTTTATTTTGGATCGACTTTGAAGTCACCTCGGTACAGCAAGAAGAGAAGGGGGGAAGAACAAGTGCAAGTGCAAGTGCAAAATACGTACAGCGAAATAGAAACCGATGAAGATGGGCGCTTGCAGGAAGATCCCGAGGAGAGGAGCAAAGGGCGTGGTGTTGTGTCTGGGGGGAGGGGGGAGCAACAGGGGGGAAAGGGGGGTGCAACAGGAGACAGGGAGAAGCCCAGGAAGGGAAGGAGAATAAGAGCCGAGGAGCAATGGGAGGAGGGAAGGATAGATGTGTCGAAGGAGGGGAGAGGGGGAGGCAGGCAGGCCAGGGAGGGAAGGCAGGCCAGGGAGGGAGGGAAGGCGCAAGCGTCAATGAGGCTTGACGCGTCAAATCCATCACAGAAATGTGTGATTAGACGATTTTTCAGTCGACTCAAAAATCGACTAATCACACACGGCAGCAGGCCAGCCAGGGAGGGAGGGAAGGTGCAAGCGTCAATGAGGCTTGACGCGTCAAATCCATCACAGGAATGTGTGATTAGTCGATTTTTTAGTCGACTCAAAAATCGGCTAATCACACACGGCAGCAGGCCAGCCAGGGAGGGAGGGAAGGCGCAAGCGTCAATGAGGCTTGACGCGTCAAATCCATCACAGGAGAAGGGTTTCGGAGGTTTCAGGTTTCGGGGGTTTACAGTTTCAAGAGGTTCGGGTTTAAGGGTTTCGGGGTTTTGGAGGTTTAGGGAGGACTACTCAGATGGTAGGGATGGGAGGAAGGAGTACTCAGATGGTAGGGATGGGAGGAAAGGAGTACGCAGGTGCGGTGTGGCTATGGTCTGGTCAGGAATGACTTTTGAGTCGACTCAAAAGTCACCTCAGATGGTAGGGATGGGAGGAAGGAGTACGCAGGTGCGGTGTGGCTATGGTCTGGCCAGGAATGGGGAGAAGGGTATGGGTATGGGACACACAGCGCTTGTACACAGAGAAATATTTTGAGGCGCCTCAAAACGACTTTTAAGGCGCCTCAAAAACAGGGAGAAGGGTTTAGGGTATGGGACATACCGCCTTTCTATACAAGGAAATTTCAGAGGTTTTAAGGTAGTCATCAATATGAAGAAACAAAATCTTAAATGACAAACTCACAATCTGACGGGGAAAAGAGGAAAAGCACAAGCTCGAGTTCAAGCACAAGCACAGAGCAAAAGCACAAGCACAAGCTCGAGCACAGTGACTCGAGAGCACCTACTTCTTTAGCAGCGCTTGCATCTTGCCATTGTAGTGAGCCACTGCCTCCGTGTTGTAGCCCTGCGATGAATCATAAGGGGGGAGGAGGGGAGAGGGGGGGGGGGGGGGGGAGGGGAGAGGGAGGGGGAAGGGAGAGGGAGAGGGGAGGAGAAGGAAGGGACGGACAGATCAGCACTTGCCGCTTGCCGCTTGCATCTTGCATCTTGCATCTTGCATCTTGCATCTTGCATCTTGCATCTTGCCATTGCAGTGAGCAACTGCCTCTGTGTCGTACCCCTGTGATGCATGATTGAGGTGATGAGGGTGATGAGGGTGATGAGGAGGGGGTTTGGCAGAAACACAGGTCGAGGTTTAATCTGTACGGTTTGAAGCATTATAAAAGGGGGCCTGGGGTTGGGGAGCAACGCAACGAGTTGACTTTTGAATCGACTCAAAAGTCACCGGTTGAGGTTTCACACAGAAACGTTAGAGCTTTATAGAGGGGGGCCCTGAGGTTAGCGGGCAATGTAACTAACGCATTGCGGAGAAGGGGTGGGAGAGAAATGGGTAACAATAGAGGAGGGGGAGAGGAGGAGAGAGGAGAGAAGAGAGAGGAGGGAGGGGACAGGAGGAGAGAGGTGGGAGGAGAGAGGTGGGAGGAGAGAGGTGGGAGGAGAGAGGTGGGAGGAGAGAGGTGGGAGGAGAGAGGTGGGAGGAGAGAGGAGGAGAAGGGCAGAGCGACTCACAGCGGCCTTGACTTTGTTCAACAGTCGCTCCATCTCTGGCTTGATGAGCTGGTGGTGAGGGGTGGGGTGCGGTTGGGTTGGGTTTGGTTTTTGGTTGGGATTGGAGGGAGGCAGAAAGAGGTAGAGAGAAGGGGAGAGAGGGGGGAATGACAAACGAATGAAGGGCACGGTAAAACAGAAAAACAAAGAGGGGTAGATGCAAGAAAAAGAAAGAGGGGTAGATGCAAGAAAAAGAAAGAGGGGTAGATGCAAGAAAAAGAAAGAGGGGTAGATGCAAGAAAAAGGCACGGGGAGTCAAAAGGAGAAAGTAAAAAAGGAGCAGCGAGTATGAGGCTCATGATGTGAGATGAAGCAAAAGCTGAGAATGAAGCAAAAGCTGAGAATGAAGCAAAAGCTGAGAATGAAGCAAAAGCTGAGAATGAAGCAAAAGCTGAGAATGAAGCAAAAGCTGAGAATGAAGCAAAAGCCGAGAATGAAGCAAAAGCTGAGAATGAAGCAAAAGCTGAGAATGAAGCAAAAGCTGAGAATGAAGCAAAAGCTGAGAATGAAGCAAAAGCTGAGGACTTTTGATGATGAAATATTGTATGTTGTGCTGCAGCTCGCAGCTGAACCCATTGTCGTCTTGACCGTTGATCTGACACTCACCGCCATCTTGACCGTTGATCTGACTTGGTAGACAAATGCAGGCAGCAGGATGAGCCTGATCCCCACCGTTGCTGCTGCTATGGAAAGCCACCTGTGATTATAACGAGAGGATCACAACACAATAACGGGGTGCTCGCCTGGCTCCAGTGCATGAACAATGCTTTGGGCAAGACCGAATAAACACATGACACGTCACTCACTCACCAGGGCAGGCCTGCCACGTCATGCACTGCACCAATCAGCTGCTGCAACGCGGCAATGGGCGCCGAGCAGTGCGCCGCCGCCGCTGCCAGCTCAGACCCCACTGTCACCCCCAGGTCCGACGTGGCAGCACTGATGACGTCAGCGGCACCGTCGCCTAATACCGCGCCGCTGACATCAGCACCGGAGGGAAGCGGCACGTCAGACAAAACGGACTCGCTGGCTGCATTTTGGCTGCTGCTTTCGTCGCTAGTGTTAGAGCCGGAGGCGCCGCCGATTGCGGCGCCATTCGCGGAAGTAGCAGAGGAGTGAAACCCGGCGGCCGAGAAGGCGAAGCTTCCGGGCGGAAAGGCGGAAGTTGCGGAAGCGGAACGAAAGAAAGCGAGATGCGGCGGGGAGGAGGGGGAGGCGGCGGAACGGAAGGGGGGAAGAGGGCTGGCGGAAGAGGCGGAAAACGGGGGTGGCGCGGAAAAGCGGAACTGGGGAGCGGAGAATTCCGCCGTTGCTTCATTCCACGGGAAAGGACCCTCTAATGTGGAGCTGGCGGCGCAAGAAGCGGACGGGATTAGCGACGCGGTCCTATGCTGACGCGGATCTGCTGACGTGGCTGTGCTAGGCTCGTGACAAGACTCGCGATCAGAAGATTCGACTCGTGGGAAGAGATCAAATCTGATCGAGCCCAGCAGCCCAGCCTGATGCCGATGGTCCCATCTGGACGGTCCAGATCCACCGATCAACCCTGCTCCGCCATCACAGCCATTGATCCTAATGGTGGAGCAGCCACCGGTGCTGCTAGCGCTGGTAGCGGCAGCACTGCTGCAAGCCGTGCTTTCCGCGCGAATCACGCGGTTCCACACTCTGTTGGCAACACCGCTGTGGCGGGTATCGCGGCGCGATCCACGGCGGCAGAGCCGCTGGAGGAGGTGGAACCGCGTCATAGGAGGAAGAGTCGGCTGAATGGGTTTGTGGATTCTTGTCGTCTTGCTTTTGTGACAGGCTGACTCGCTAGAAGCAACCACTCCGAACACTAAGGTTGCACAACATTGAGTGTAGGCGAGTTGTCTCCTAAAGTTACATGAAATATACTCCCGAAACACAATGACGCTAGTGTTGGTTGTAACACACAAAATAAGCGAGTGCAACTATGCGCATGGAAATGATTTCTTTCTATTGGCGCTTTGCATGGGAAGGAAGGAGCAGATCCGAGGCATCACACACAAAGCCAAGTTTGTACATTAATTCTTCGAGGCGGGGAGGATTGGTGAGGTAGAGGAATCCAATCTGAGAAGGGCAAGGGAAAACACAAAGCAAAAACACAAAACACAACAAAAACAAGGGTGAACAAAAAGAACTCATACGAAGACAGCAACCCACTGCAAAAGCTAATCAGCCTGTATGTTTTACAAGTGTAGTGACTGCTAGTGCTCCAATAGCAGGTGTTGGCATGACTCAAGAAATCACATGAGATTTGCACTCACAAGTGTTTCAAGTGCAGTTGCTTTGGCATACACCCTGGATCACCTTCTGCTGACTTTAAGTACCTTTGTGTCTTCTCAAAGGTCACCTGAACGAGAGTCTCATTCACCCACAAACGAGACGAGAGTCTCATCATTCAAGCAGCCAAACGAGAGTCGTATCACTCACAAGTGTTTCAAGTGCAGTGGCGTTGGCATACACAGTTGATCCAGCCCTCCCCTTGGCCTTCCTAGCCCCCGTTGAGGCATTGCCTCCCCACCGCACCACGTCCCTGCAGCATGGCATGAGAGTTACACAGTTACATGGTTACACCTGTGGGATGCTCAAAAGGCACCTGTGGAAGCATTGCCTTCCCACCGCATCACACCACGTCCCTGCAGCATGGCACCGTATTCCACCGCACAGTTACAGACAAAATCAACTAGTTAGGGGCATCACACACCATGGCATGGTATACTCCTGTGACTAAGGAGTGTTCAGTCATTGCAAGGAATCTGTAGAGCGTCCTTAAGGAATCTAGAATTACATATGTATGAATCGTACCAGTGGGCTGGGCCCACCGCATTGCACCACGTCCCTGCAGCATGGCACCGTATTCCACCGCACAGTTACAGACAAAATCAACTAGTTAGGGGCATCACTCACCATGGCATGGTATACTCCTGTGACTAAGGAGTGTTCAGTCATTGCAAGGAATCTGTAGAGCGTCCTTAAGGAATCTAGAATTACATATGTATGAATCGTACCAGTGGGCCCAGCCCAGATGCATATGAAGAAAACAGAAAAATGAATCAAAGTCAGACACGGACTCACACATGCATGCGTGCACGTACCTTTCTTCCTCTGTGAGCATCTTCGAGGAGGTCAATCGCCGTAGCAAAGGCATCACTTACCATGGTACACTCCCCCACAGCATCCCCAAAACTCACACACATGCATGCATGCGTGCACGTACCTTTCTTCCTCTGTGAGCATCTTCGAGGAGGTCAATCGTCGCAGCAAAGCATCCTGCAAGGAACGAATGCATGTGTGCAGTGCAGTGCACTGATAGGCATTAAGTCGACCCACAAGCGTCCTGCAAGGAACGAATGCATGTGCGCAGTGCAGTGCACTGATAGGTATTAAGTCGACCCACAAGCGTCCTGCAAGCACCCAATGCATCTGTGCGTGCACAGATGAGTTTTTAGTCGACTCACACGTGTCCCGCAAACACCCAATGCATGTGCACATCGAAGCGTGAGAGGATAGTTAGTCAGTTCGCATCTGGCCCTCTCAGCCCACAGCCCACGTGGCTGTTGGCGATATGGGCAGTGCCACTGGATGTGTGCGGGTCGGTGAGTGCCTCTTCGTGTATGTGTTGGGGGGGGGTGGGTGGGGAGGAGGGGTGGGGGGTGGGGGTGGGGGGTGGGCGTGCACGCATGCATATACTTGTGTGTTACAGCAACGGAATCTCACCTGGGCTTAACAGCAGACAAGAGCTGTGATTTGTTGGCAGTACGTGGCGAGAGTATCTACTGCGTGTGGGTCTGATGTGCACATACGCATGCATCAGCGAAACCAAATCTCACCTGGGCTTCACAGCAGACAAGAGCTGTGACTTGTTGGCAGTACGTGGCGATAGTATCTACTGCGTGTGGGTCTCATGTGCACATACGCGTGCATCAGCGAAACCAAATCTCACCTGGGCTTCGCAGCAGACAACAGCTGTGACTCGTTGGCAGTACGTGGCTATGGCGGACGGGGGGTTCAAGAAGTGACGCCGCGCATACAGCTGATCAGGGAGCGAGGGTTGGCAGAATGGCGAAGGAGATGAGTGGATGGGAGGGTTGTTAGAAGAAATCCATGCATTAGGGATCAACGAATCTAATGTGACCACAACGAAATTCTTGTTCACGAAATGATGCCTTATAAACAGCTGAAAGAGGGAGAGAGGAGATCCTGGATGTATGCAAATAAAGAGAGGTGGAAAACAGAAAGGAAACAGCAAGACTGTCTAAAATCTCAATTCTAATGACTTCCTTGTCGGGTGTACATTACTGTAGTAGGGCATTTCCCCGATCTGCCCTACCAGCAAGCGGGGAGTCTCCCTCAGGTATGTTGACGCATCCCTGTGGTCTCAGGAAGTGCTTACTCTTAAGAATTGACACCACTACACGTAGTCTCACCTCATAGATTCCATCCCCGATATACGCCAGCATGGCTGCATTATGCGTAGCACGAGGTCTGGGCACGTCTGGCGGCGGAGGGAGCCAAACCCTAGGATCAGACACATCCAACGGCTGAGACGCGGTTACTGAATCATCCAACGGCTGCGACGCAGCGTTGGAAGTCAGCCGCCGGTTCACGTCTGATGCAGTCGACCCTCTGCGTCCGTTATTAGCAGACTCGATACTTGTCACGCGCCCAGCTCCTGATTCAGCATTCGCAAGTGTATCCGAACTCGGCTGCATTTTTCTTCTTCTGCGACCTCCAGCAACCCCGTTACTTCCCACTGCTGCAGCCGAACCTAACTGGGCCTCAGGTCCGGCCGAACCAACCACACGACTTTCCGTGACAGTACTGCCTGCGGTGCCGTTCGCTGGACCAGATTTGGATCTGGCATTCTCAGAAGCGCCATTCCCAGCAACATTCCGTGTGGTATTTCGAATTGGAGCAGCTTCTGCGGGATGAAGATTGCGATACGAGGACTCTTTTGTAGCAACATTTCCGAT